ACTTGCCTTGGTAGGAGTGCAAGTCTTTCAGAATCACTGGAAAGCAAAATTCTCTAACAGTGAAAACTGTTATGAATAGAGCACATTTTTGTGCATGAAACTGAATCAGTCATGATTCAGTTACAAGTTACATAGCTAGTCATTAATTAGCCATGATTTATGTGGCCAGGTGATTAATAATCAGAAGTACTATATGTGCATTAAATAAGTTTGCCTACTTAGGAGTTCACGAATGCTTGCCTAAAAATTCCCTAGATTTTTGTTATTCAGTTTGATTTTATCACTAGTCCCCATATAAATTTTGCTGCCACCTAGCTAGAAAACAGACAGAGTAAGATAAGAACGTAGCCAGTTATACGTCATGAGTAATGAATAGCCAAATATCACAACAGTAATTGCAAAACCATTCTCTGAAATCAAAAACTCTTTTTGCAAGTAAATTTTTGACTGGAGAAACTAAATTTTAGTCAAGAAAATTTTGCAGAGGTATCTGAGTTTAGTTGAGTACATTGACAAATATGATGCAAATCTTAATATTAAGATAAATGAATTCTAAATTAGGATTATCAAGAAAGTCAAAGCAGGTATGCTGGAACTCTGGCTCCTGCAAAGGGCAATGAAAAATGTTTTTTCTGCCGTACCAGAACCCAGCAGCTCTCAAGGATGATCAGTCAGCCATAACAAACTGAAATTCTTATGTGTTAAAAGTTTTATGTTACAGGTTATACATATTAAAATCTGTATCTGAGCATGGAGAGTATCACTTTTCCTCCGCAACATTTCAACTTTTCCTTCCTCAATTATCTGCTGCTATTGTTTGAAAAATTTGTTTGGAGAATACATTTTCTAAACCCAGATTATCTCTTTCTCAGCTCAGTCTGCTCCTTCCGCCTGCTGCAACTTCGCTCTGCCATAGCAGCAAGTGGGTCTGACAGCAGGGGAAAGCATGATATTTGGATTGGAACGGCAGGCTGCAACTGCTATTTAACCATGTATTTTCCAGGCAAGAAGGGTGTCCAGTGCAGAGTTACACAACCTGAGATTAGGGATGCCAAAATCCCTCACGTTATTCAAGAGTAATGTAAACGGATAAACCAGAAAACAGATCCCTCAGGATCTGCAAGTCTCTGTACATAACCAGCTACACCCGGTCCCACTGCTGTGAGAAAACCGTATGGACTGCCACACTGGCTCAGCATCTCACTTCAATGCAATGCTACCTTTACTCTTTACCATACCTACCAACTAGAAAAAAAGAGTTAGAAACACACCGCAAACCACGCATAAAACCTGAATTATACAATTACGCCCTTTCTAGGCTCTTCAGGCCTACGTTCTTCTAATGCGTCCTTAGTATCCTCTGGAAACCTAATCCACTCCAACCTGTAACATAAATACTTTCTTTTCAACATGCAGTGTGTTGATTTCACCTTAATTATATATTTCCCACTGCAAGAACTGAAACCGTGGGATACTGGGAAAGAACTTAACCAGCAGCCTATAAAGAATACGGGCCGAAGCTTGGCTTCCATTAACACCTCATTAGGCAGAGCCTGTATTGTACATAAAATGAGCTAATGATTTTTAAATGTAGTTGTCAACATACAACTTAATAACGTAGAAACTTTTTTCTTTATAGCATTGGGCAAGTGATAATACCTTTTTTTAACTCTACAAATCAGCATGAAGCTCTTTGCATATATTATTACCCCAAGCAAGATCTTCATCGGTCATCATCAAACACCGGCCTTCAGCAGGTATTAACCGTAGCATCAATTTTCTGATAAACAAAAGCTGATGGTTGGAGGAAAGCACCTTTAAATCCTGGGTTTAACATAGTTCAGCTTAATAAGACCAAAGATAGAACTGTCAAATGACTGTTAGGTAACTGTAAGATTAATTCTAATCCCATTTAAAGGAATGGCAAAATTCTCATGCTTGAGCTTAATTTGAATATGATGAGGCCTCAGGTATATTGAACTGGCAGCCACCGCTTCTTGCAGGCAGTTCTCTACCTTACTAAAAATCTCTGTTACGGTTTACATTAACCTGACAGATTTAACAGTAGTTCAAGAATGCAGGACTTTAACTCCCACTGAAGCTAAGTAAAGGGCCATAGAGTCAAACAGAGGTTGCACAGTATATCCCTTAATTAGCAAGGGGATTGTGGTATTCCCATCCATCAGGTGACCCCTCCGAGCAAGGGTTAGGACCCGATGTTGTTGCAATGGGTTTTGAAGCATGCGTGTGCTGCAGGTGAAGCCTGGTTTGCTGTATGGGCAAAATAAGTGCTCATACACTGTCAGTTCACTCCACTTTCACTGAGCATCATTTTTAAAGACAAAAAAGAGAATTTATGGATTTATAAAATATCAAAGTATCTCAATTTCTAACCTGTGGAAGCTTTCTCTTAGCTTTTAAAAGTAAAATGATCTTAACCTAGACTAGTTGCAAATAATTCTTCCGTTGCAAAAAAAATCTCATGTCTGTAAACATCACACTTGTCTCAGAACCCTCTAGCTTACCAGACAGCCAGTGCAAGCCTCTCTCGCAACGGCCTGAATCCCGGTTACCTGCCAGCGCCCACAGTCACAACAGTAGGCAGTGAACTGCCATAGTCACTTTCACGTTTCAGGGTCTGAGCAGTGAAATTAATAATTTTCCACACTCAAAACGTGCACACGTAGACTTCATCACCTGTGCCGAACTGGCAACTCACCCTCCGGGTTGGTGTAAAACGGTGGTGCTACTGCTGCTTCATAATTACCCTGGTGCCTATTTGGTACCCAGAGCGGCATCTCTCTGGAGTAAACACAATTAAGATGAGCAATCCTCCTGCTGTTCGTGTTTGATTAGCGAGTACGGCAACGACATTTACTCATTGTCTTCGTGCTTGAATGCTACATTCTTCTGGCTAGGAGAATTACAATAGCTGTTCCCAGGATGCAGGCAGGTATGCCATGTCTAACCTTTAACTTTGGGTATGTGGTCAGGCGCTTACTGCCACGCAGCTTGTAAAACCGGTTGCATTTTGTACGTCTGAAAAAAAAACGCTTCGGGTTATCTTACAAGGCAAGGTGTAAGATGGTGATATGCGTATTCGTGCTGGAGAATTTGTTTGGGACGGATCTCCCTGTGTCACTGAATCTGAGCCAACTGACATCAGGCAGGGGAGGCTTGGCCGCTAGTGAGAAACGTACGTTTCTAAATCTCCTTGAATATATCATAGAGTTATGATGTGTTATGGCCAAATTGCTGGCTCCCTGCTTAAAATGGAAGTAGCGTGCAGTGAAATGTGCACCATTCTACCCAGTGGAAAAACAATTACGCCAACAAGTGAGGACAGAAGCAGCTAATATTCGCAGCACCATAATGAGCAGCTTGCCAAAACTGGCAGCTAACCCAGAGTCCTGAACCAACATAGCAGGTCTATTTATCTCATTTACTGTGCTTGTCTTCTCCACTACCCCATCCCAAGCGAACAAATATCAATAGTAATGACAATCTTACTAATTATGCCCAGAAATAAATCAACATTTAAATACACATTTTCAACACCAAAAGATGTGACTGGATGATAGAATCAGCGTTTTTCACTCATTTCTACTTAACTCCAAAACCATAGGTTGAAAAGGAAGTGCTTTATCTATTAAAAGGGATCACATAATTTATTTCATTGATGGCAATCAGTTGTTTATTTGCAAGATAGCATTTATGACAAAACTTACTTTCTTTAAAACATGTTTCACTGCCCTATAAAAGCAAAACCCATTTCTTATGGCTTTCCACTAAGACATTCAGACTAATTATCTTATTCACCTTTTCCTTTCTTTATAACTGGTAATTTAGCCTGCTATATAAAATACCATTAAACCTAGTTCAGACTAAAGCTTTCTGCACGTGGAGCTGTAGTTGATGCTAATACTTCAATCTTAGCCATACTCAAAATAGGTATTCTAATATATTTCACACTGATGCAGCTTAGTTATCACTTTCACAACTACAGAAATTTTCTTGAGTAAACGAGCGTTCTCTCATTCCCACCTATGTCAGCAAAAAGGCATTTTCTTTTTATCTCTGCACAAGAGGGAGAACTAAAACATTACTGATTGATCAGTCATGAATTTTTCTTGCACACTTGCATTTTTGCACTTCCACTGCAAAAACAGCCTGTCAGATATTTTAAAGTACATCATTTGCAAAAGTATTGCTGCAGAGCACTGAAATGTCATGGCTGTGCACCAGTACGTTAGATATGCAAGCTTAAAGCAGAATCATAGGAAAGAGTTTAAATTACAGGCAACCCAGGACAGAACAAGAGGATACTTTGAAGGAACTAAGGAAGAAGGGTTCAAGCTGCAGGGAAACTGAAACTAAAAAAAAAACAGAGAAGTTATAAGTACTGTACACACATATGTCACAGAAAATAGCATTTTTTTTCTTTGGGTAACTCAGTTAAACTGCAAGCAGACTTATATTGGCAGTTAGTCATTTTAATTATAGTGTGATGACACTTGCTAGTTTAGAAAATGAATCATATGGTTGCACAGGAATTCAGTCTTTTTGCCTTAGCTATATTTGTAGATAAATAGAAATCTAAAAGTGAAACAGGCATTTAATTGCTTAAGGGTTACTTGATGCATAATAGCACACTTATTCTGTAATAATTTCAGGTTATCTTTCCATTTCTTTCTTACTAGAGACATCCTTCTTACAGTGCAGAGAATAAACACAGAATGACAAGCAAACCTAAAACACTTTCAGGCAGAAGAGTATTTTAGTAGCTGAAAATCAATCCCTGGAAGTGCCTCAGATCTTTCTGAATTCAATAAACTTAATTATGGAGGCAATTTAATACAAGGAAATAATTCATAAAATTTCGGAATGGGAATATTTTACTCTGCCAGAGGACCGTAATTTAACCTCTGTGCAATACTTCCAGCAAAGCCAATGGGCTTGTATTAGCATAAAGTCTTTAAAAACCTGACATGCTGACCTACCTTTATGTGACAGACGTAACCTTGGCTGCCTCGTATCTGTTGCATGACATCCAGTCGGTGGGTGTAGTAACAAGCCACACAGTGCCAGGATTAAAAGGTCCTGGGCAGATGCCATCCTGCCCAAGATCAAATTCTTGCGCTCTTCGCTTAACTGCTGCTGTTTGTTTGTTTTTTAAGGCTGCAAGTTCCACTTCTACTTTCCCAGAGCAGTTAGATGGCTCTCTTTGGTCAGTCCGTGGGGTATCTCTACGGGAAAGTCACCGGTCGGCAGAGGAGCCCAGCCTCAGCTAGCCATTAGTCAAGCTGTGCAAATGTCATGTAAAAATACTCCCTGCCTAGGACAATTGTTTATCAAGTGCGAGGACATTCCAAGGCGTTACTCCGCGGTGTTGTGTCTTGAGCTCTCTTTAGTAACTCTGCCAGTGGATTCAGGAAGAAGCTGTATTTTCAGTCCCTCCTGCAAGGCAATTCATTCAGAGAAGGAGGGAGAGGGGGAAAAAAAAAAAAAAAAAGAGAGAGAGGAAAAAAAAAGAAGAAAGCACCCTCCTCCTTGGTGCTCTTCAGAGCTCAGCCCCTTGCTCCGACTTGCCAGACAGCTAGTTTTAATTCACCTTTCACCTTTGCTAATTAAAAACAAGAAGTGCCGTCCCCCCCTGGAGCTGCAGGAGCCCCCCCAGCAGGGAAGCCGACCCTCCCCGGCCGGCGCTCCTCGCAGCTTGTGCTCCCGGAGCGGTTTTAGGGGGGCATTAACCCTTCACTTGACTGCTGAAGTGCATTATCACTTAGCATCCTTAAACAGCAAGCTGCTAAGTGGATCAGGATACGAAAGGAAACAGTTGTATTTCCTACTTTACTTTCAAAAAGGGTGTATATGTGTGGGTTTTGTTTTTTTTTAAGGATATGGTTTTATACAGTGGCTTCTTCCCCCTACGTTTAAAATCTCTGTGAGGCTGGAATTTTAGGTCGTCTAGATGTGTGAGTAACGCTGCTGATGTGACTCGATGTGAGCAGGATCAGCCAGTCATTTAAAAAAAAAAAAAAGAAAAAAAGGAAAAGCCTGAGCAAAGTGCTGGGGTTGTGTGATACAGAGCATCAGGTTTACAGGTGCCAGGCAGCTACTTCTTAAGCTGCAGCTGACAAATAGCAGAAAACTTCATCTGTTTTACACATCAGCTGTGAGTGGAAAATATACCGGTGGTAAAACCCAAGATTTTATAAATAAAGACTATAGAGCTATGTTTGGCATATATTAATGAAGGTCTAGCATCCTTTCTCAGTAGCTGAGATCTCTTGTGTGTATAATCACTTAGAATTTTATAAGGTGTATTTCTGTTTTTAAAATTGTATTTTTAAAATTACACCTTTTTTAATGGGCTGGGGACATTAACCTCAAGTCAAGTGATAATTTTTGTTGCTTTATATAAAAAAAACACAAATGAAGAAAAATGAATATCATGTATTTAATATAGTGAATCAATATGTGCATTTGAAAATAATGCCTTAAGATAAATTTGGCAGCCAACAAAAAATAATGTTATCTGGAACAGAAAGCATAATAAAAAATTTCTGTGTACCTAGAAACTGGAAAAAACCCAACTACAATAATATAGTGAAATCCTAATAATTGTAGTGGCAGAGCATAAAGATAACAGAAGACAGACCTGCTCAACTTAAAAATATGAATTACTAGGTTGGGAAAAAAATGTCGTCTTGGTGAAAAGACAGAAGTAAATCATGAGAGTGCCCAAGGACTCCTTGAGGCTGTATAATCAGAAGTGAGAAGGAGGTCATGTGTACCTGCTAGCTCTCCAACAGCAGGTCACGTACATATATCTGAGCTTGCTTTAAATCTGTGGGAAATGGTGCTCTCAGCAGTTAAACCACAGGAGCAAGAGCTGGGAAAGAGCTATATCACCTGCTGTTTACTTCATTTCTTGCACACATATTGCAAGTTGCACTGAATTTTCTGGCGGTGCCTCTGCCCTGATGCTGCCTGTAGAGCAAGCTCTCGGGACAGTGGCTCAGCCTGTGCACCTGAGACACCATCACTGGAAATGACCTCAGCACAGATGCATTTATCATCTGTCCAGTGGCATTATTATTACTTGCACATTTTCAGTAGTACTGAGGCATACAAACATGCTGAGATAGACCACTAAAAGTTGTAAATGAGCTTAATACTGCTGAGGTCAGTGAGGCCTCTCTGAAAATTTTAAGCTGTCTTTGGATATGATTCTGTGAGGTTTTTATTAAGTTATTTGTATTTTTCCCAAGTAAAGATTGAATTAAAAGAATTAATGCTTTCTTGAATGTAAGTCTGCAAAATTTAAACATTTCAAATTCTGAGATAATCCAAATGGCACTTCTACTGTAAAAAACTAAGGAACCTGATATGGAAAACTTAAAACCCCTTCCAATTTATTTGTTTCCTAAAAGGCACAAAAATCCAAATGCAAGCTCACAATATGAAAACTAAAACTATATTCAATGATTAAACCAAGTTTACAGCAAAATCTGAAGACTTTACCTCTCCCAAGCTCTAATATGGTGGTATTATTTGCGAATTTTCTCAGGCTGCAGCCAATATAGTTGATGCTGACCAGAGCAGTTAGACTTCAGGTATCCTGAGGTGGTACCAAAAAGCTCGTAAAGCAAATTAAACATGATTTTCTCAGCTTTAGTTTAAAGTTCTGGATTTATTTTTCAGTTAGGAAAAGGGAATTGGGGGAAGGGATAAGGGAGCTGCTGGAAACTATAATCCCGATTTTCTATTTAGACAAAATGGAGGGTGCAGTGTGTCTATTCAACCAAGACGTACATACAAATAAGGGCAAATCCCCACCAACACGAGCTTGCATGCACTCACACGCATTTCTAACTGCACACGTACCCAGCCGTTACATAACATCTTGGCTCATGACAAATATAAAATGAACCGTGATTCAAGCTCCGAAAGAATCAGGAATACCTCAACAGGCTGATTTTCACATTTGGCCCCAAGGACAAAGTTTTTTGTCTGAAATCTGATCTCCAACAGGGTAGGGCCCCAGGCTCCTTCCTCGTCCTGTGCCGCGAGCCAGCACCAGGCTGTTTTCCCAAATTGCTGCGTAAGGACTATAAGCTCTCCACCACCCCACAGCCTTGCACATCAGCTTTTGGTGCAAAAGCTAGCAGTGGAAAGATGGACACACTTTCAAGTGGAGAGAAGCGTGTGGCCTCAGGCAAGGCAGTCAAGCTCTTTGCCTCAGCATCCTTTCAATTAAATAGACGTACTAACTTGCCGCAAGGGGTGTTCTGAGAGACTTGTTCCTAAAGGATTTTAAACAGTAGGTAGAAGGATGGCAACAAAGACATTCAAATATTAGGAGTTAGTCTTAGATCAGTACACACACGCATACCCCAGGGCTGCAGAGGCTGCTTGTAGTACAGTGCTGAAAAGTACGTTATAAACAAGGTGAGTTTAACACCTATTTTCTGTTAATAAGGCAAAGGCAGCAGATCATTACTGTCAAACTTGAATTTGTTTCAGTAATAAAGTCCCCAGTTAAGTGAATGCTGACAGATAAGTAAGAGTTCATGCCTGGAAGTCTATAAAAGTTGAAAATATTTGAAAATTCAAACACAGACTCTATATTTGATTACCTGGGTAGAATTCATATAGTTACATTCTCCTAAAGAAGGAGACTATATATTTTCTTATGTAATTCACATAGAAAATGGAAAAATAAAGATGATATTCACATTTTAATTCTCTATGTACAGTTAAGATGTGCATTAAATGAACTATAAATTAACTGTGAATTGCTATGTAAAGTCTGTGAACCATATTCTCATTTGTTGCAACTACTGTAAATCCAGAGCAATTCTAATGAAATCACTGAGCCTGTAAATCCAAACACTCTAACACAAAATACTTCTGACATACTATGTGAACTGGTTTAAGTTTTACTGATAGAGTGAAATGTAAACGCAAGAGCATGATATAAATAAGTACATCTGCTGCTACTAGCACCAGTAACAAATTCTAAACATTATAACTATAAAGCAAAATGAAGTGTTTAGAAATTTTAAAGCTAGGGTGGTCCAAGAATTGCCATAACCGTAACTTAAAACCAGGTTTGGAAGCTGCAAGACTACCTCCTTCTTGTGAAGACAGTACACTGATCCATGGTAGGAATTCTCTCTCTCCTTTTCGGAACATGTTTGCAGATCAAGTGAAGGTATGCTATCCGAAAAGGAGCTGTGTAGAGTTTGCTGAGGTTAACGATGCCTGTATCTTCTTCATTTCAGTGACCTGTGATAGTTATATTGCACATATAATCCCATCTTCCCTTATTTAATAGACAAACCTTTAAAAGACACTTAAAAAATTTCTTTTACAGCACTTTATTCATAAAGCTTTTTTATGTCGTTGTTTATCCACTGAGCATTGCAGTTATTATTGATAGTTCAGCTTTCACGTTCTACTGTGCAGAAGTACTTACAATAGTTGTAGAAGATGAAGGAAACGTCTCTATATCATGTAATTGTTATCTCTGCCTTTGAGGAGCGGATTTATGTTTGCTCCGGTATCCATTCAAAACTGGTAGCTGGCTCTGTTGTGCCAGTAGTACTGGAAGAGACGGTGACATAAAGCTGCCTGTCATCATCGTGGTGCAGATACAGCAACCCCCAAAATTCCTAATCAACTCATAACACATCCATGTACACATCCAGTAAGAGCGTTGACAAGACACAACAAGAGCACAGGAAAGTCGATCCAACAGGGGAGTGATCGCTCAGAAGTATCTTCTGGGATCTCCAAAGAAAGGCGCAGAATCATGCAGACCACCCCATTGACCCTAGGGAGGACATCCTGAGAGCAGACAAATGTTGCCAGATCCTGCTTAATACAGAGGATAACAGAATATAATGATAAAACCTAATCCTCGGATCTAATTTTCAAAAAAAAAAATGGTACAGGCCTTTGCTTTTGTCTGTTGAAGTTGGATCCTCATCCTGCATGAAAGTAAATGTGTTTATGTGTAACGTCTCAAGGACGGGGAAGTGTTATTTCTCTTGTTTCACACACAGCGCATTCTATCTTTGATCTCAGATTAAATTTAAACAATATTCATTAAGCAAAAGAGTTTGACCGAATATGAACCTGTGCTTCAAACTAGCCACAAAACTGCATGGTAAATTAATCATCTGTAGGAAAAAAAGAATTCTCAATTAAGTTACACTCCTCTTAATTCCAAGAAGACTGGGTTTCGACAGGTAAATACTGAAACTTATTGTCCTTGAAACGTTGTTGCTTGCGGTGATATCATTACTATGACTAATTACAGGTGAATGTCAATGCTGCTTGGGATACAGATCACCTGTTTTAGTTAACCTATACAAAATAGGTGTAATAAATATTTCTGTCTTCAAATATAGCCACTCTTCCAAGATTTCTTTATAGGTTGCACTAAAAAAAGGCAGATCGGAGGATCTTATTCCTAAAATCAACTCCATGTGCCTGACTTATGAT